AAACTGACTGAGCTTGGGAACTGGTTTTCATTCTGGGAAGATTCTTGTCAGGCCTAGCCCAAGGAACTCCAGGAGACCATACAGAATCAATCCAGCAAGGTTATTAGCTACAACCCATTTACAAGAATCTTTAAAGGCCGCTGGAAACACTCCCTCTCTCAAGGATGAATTCACCATCGCCTGGACCCACCCACACGTCACCCCCCGAACTGCTTTAACCAGCCAGGAGGGGCATGGATCTAATTGACAGGTGGTGGCGTTTACAGCCTGGAGGACCCTGTCCACTTCCCAAACTGTTCCCAGATAACAGGGCAAGTATGTACCCCGGGCATCTCCACAGGCCATGCTACACACTTGGTATGCAACTGGGAATGTATCCGAGCGATTTTATTCGCCAGATGCCCAGAAAACTCCTTTGCGCGGCCCTGTACGTGGGTCACTGGGCCCACCTTTCCCAGAAGAGATCGAGTGATCTTAAACAGGGCCGCTGGGTGGCATTCTGCAGATGCAATAAGAGCGGAGAAATGTTGATATTTCACCACTCTTACTGCCACAAGGTAGGCCTTAATAGCGGCTCTAACCTGTGTTCAGTCAGATTCGGTCCTTGTTTTCCTCCAGCAGCACTCTAGACGTCTCTTAATCCTTTTCAAGACCCTCAACTCCTCCATAAACCACAGGAAGCATCGGGCTCGATGGGTCAAGAGAGGTCGCATGGGCGCGATCTTGTCCAAGGCCTCGGCCACATTCCTATTCCAGGTGGTGGCCAGGGCCTCTGCTGGACCGTGCAGCAGATCCTTGGGTGTAGTCCCCAGCTCCCTCTGGAATCCCACTGGGTCCATCAGTCTCCGGGGGCGGACCAATCGAATGGGTCCTGCCTCCCTGCGGAGGTGGGTAGCATAGGAGAATCTCAAGGCTACCAGGGCACGATCAGACCATGACGGGGGACAGATGTAATTCCCCCTTCAGATCACATTGCCACTGCTCTGACAAGAAAACCAAGTCCGGTGCAAGACCACTGTCCTGAATCGAGTCGCGAATAATCTGGGACAGGCCCCTGGCCGCCAGGGTGGCCATGAACGCCCGAGCCATCTTTGAGGCACGCCCCAGGGATGGCAGATTGAAGTCCCCCAGAACCATAAGTGTGGGGAACTCCACCGCTAGCCCTGCAACAGCCTCCAGCAGCTCAGGCAGGGAGGTTGCCACGCAGCAGGGAGGCTGGTACAGCAGCAACAACCCTACCTGTTCTCAAGAGCCCAACTTCAGGAACAGGGTCTCACAACTGGCTACTTGTGGAGCAGCACCCTTGAAGGCCAGCAGAGAGTCCCGGATGACAACCGCTACCCTTCCTCCCCTGCCCTGGGGTCTCGGCTGGTGCCAAACTGTAAACCCTATTAATACTAAAAAAGAGACACGACTAGAAAATTCATGCATCACATTAAGCTATGAAGTAGATGGTTTATTTTGGTCCGTGTGATATATTAACCCAACCATTATGGCTTAGCTTTACACCCACTTGTACCAGACTATGGCTTGAAAATCCTGGTTTGGCATTTGGTATCAGCTCAGCCATTAATGGGAAAGGCTGTTGCTGCTTTTTGTGAGCCCGTATCTCCTGGTATTATCGAAGAGAGGAGCAGCACGACGTTCGTTCACCGCATCTGACAAAGATCTAACATTCCAGAAATGCATTTTTCACACCATCAGGAAAACAGACCACAAACAACAAATTCAGGAAACCCTCCAAAACAGCCTCCCCTGTCCCCCTTAGAGACTTACTGGCAGCCGAGACCAATTCTTTGTGAAGTTTGTATGTCATGACGGGTTCAGAGAGGTTCCTGAAAAGAGAAGCAACCACGCTGCCAAAGCGAGCAACAACCGAGCTCCGTTCTACATTGGGAAGAATTCTGTGGTTGGGGGGAAAGCACTTAATGTCTCAATTTGTTGCGCCAAGATTGCTCGTTTGGTACCCTTTATGCAATCATTCCCCATGATGCCTGGGATATGATGCCTTACACACTTTTTTAAATCAACATCCTGTTTAAAAGTTGATAGAAGCATTTTCTACTGGTTTGACAAATGACAGGGGAGAGAATTTGCTCATCTTGTACCAATTTATACCGCCTCATCCCCAGGCCATTAACCACGCAGCACCTCCTGTATTTCCTCAACTTTGCCTTGGTTCCACCAGTCCACTGTCCGCTCACATTGCATGCCCAGAGCGTGCGAGTTTTCCTTTGCTGATCACTGCCCCTGTGAGTAGTCACTGACCTGGTCAAGGACTGAGGTACTGGCTCATCTTGCAGTCCGCTGACGTGCTTAGCAACTGTAGAACTGTGCGTTTAACTACCTCTTATCTATCTGGGACTGAGACAGCGACCTAGCAAGAGCTTCACTGCCATGGCTTTCAGTTTTTGCCCCACCCTTCCACAGCCACACGGGGCGAGCAGTGCAAAATGACCATCAAGGGGTGGAGCTAAGTAAAGACGCACATACTTCCCAGAATCTTCCTATGAAGGCTCAGCCCCAATCACACCATGGTAGATTTTTAAAATTTAATTTTATTTTGCTCCATCTTGGGGGGGGGAAAGGAAGTGTGGCAGGAAGGAATAGCTCCCCATCCCCTCCCCCTTTGCAAAGGGGGCTGGGAGAATTGCAAAATGGCAGTTGCAACACAAGATCGAGCTACCCCTGCCCTTGTGCTGCTGGGTCACGACAGCGCATCTTCTTGCAGGAAGAAGGGGTGGCCGGGCAATTAGTTTTGTAGACCGAAGGCCAAACATTTGCTGATTTTAGGCAGAACTCTGGTACACAGCTGTGCACACAGAGCTCACTGGCTAACTAGGCAGCTCTCTGACAGGGTGCAAGAGCATCATCCACCCAGGACATGAGATTGGTCTATGATGCTATTCAAGAAACGCCGGCAATTATTTTGCAAGCCCAGCAAAGTCTGAACGTCACCTCAGGTAGAACTTCAAGGAGCTGGTAATAGTCTTGATGTCCCAGTCGCTGTTTTGGAAATCCACATCCCCAGGACACTTAGGATCTTAAGAAGGAAAGGAGTGGGAAAAGATTAGCTAGAGTCACTATTTGTGAAGGTATACCTAAAATTTAGCTGTAGTGAGACAGAGAAACACTTTTGCAAAATCAACACGAGAAAAGGCAGATAAAAGCATTACACAGTCATAATTCTACTTTATACACAAACATAACGTTCAATATATATAACAATGTTAAATAGAGCCAGTGGCTTATTTAAAAACTAAGAGAGGGAGAGCAGTAAATTACAATTCTAGATGTTACGCTAAAATTAGGATAATTTCTCCTAATTGTTTATTATTTATTTATATTCAACCCTGTGAACTGGGTAGAGATTTAACTACTGGCATTTAAGTCCTACAGCAGTGTTTCTCAAGCTCAGCAACTTTAATTCTGGGAGTTGAAGTCCAGAGATCTTAAGGTTGCTGAGGGTGAGAAACGTCGTCCTATGGAACAGGCTAAACGCAAATGTTGATATCAGTGCAATCTAAATGTAACCATGTCTGGATGCAACGTCTATGGACCTGCTAATGGTCCTCCAATGGATAAAGCCTTACAAGACAGGACCATGGGGGTACCTGCCTATCCTAACAATGATGCACAGTTCTAGGCCACGTATTGGGCTCAGGGTTTTGGAGTTAGCTTCTGATACTGCTCTTCCAACGTGCTCCTTTCAGATAATGACCACACCTGCTTATGCTGAGGCAGAATTTTGGGAGTTGTAGTGTAGATCTCCAGTTTTGGAAATGCTGCTCTGAAGAACGCAAAAACACAAAACTCTGTGGTTAATTCTGCTTTCTTTTATCATCTCATTATTCTAAACTACCCTCTGAAAAATCTCTCTTTCCAGGAGGCAGAAAATCTGCCAAGGGAAGAGCAGAACATTTGGACAACTCATGTTTCTTATGTTTAGATTACCAAGGCAAGTACAACATTTCTGTGGCAAGAAGAGATTAAGAGATCTGGTTTAGCAGAAAGAAATACCGCTTCCCCCCCCCCCCCCCCCAGCTTCAAATTCCCACTGGGGTATTCAATGTAAGCCCTTAGTCATGAAAGCAGTTTGTTGCTGGTGCTCTGCAAATGAATGGGATTTGAGGCTATCCAACATTTGTGACCCGTCGCTGTTCACTTTTTCAGTTATGCAGAGAAACTTTTAATATCTGGAGCACGGGCAAACTGAGCAACCAAGCCAAACCAATATTCAAAGAAGATGTGGAAACTATTAAAAAAAATGACTGAATCTTTGCCCTGTGATCGACTACTGTTGTTCCTAACTTCAAAGAGGGAAAAGGAAGAAATTAGGGAAGTACTAATCAGTCCAGAATCAATACTGGGGAAGATTCTAGAGCAGATCATACAATGATTGATCCATAAGCACACTGGAAACAGTGCAGTGCTTTCCAAAAGTCAGTATGGATTTATCTGGAACGATCCTCATCCTATCTTCTTCCATTGTTTTGATTTATTTCTCAATAAATTGCAAGAATGCTATAGATTATCTTGATTTCAGAAAAAAACATCTAATAAAATACCCAAGACATTCTGGTTAGCAAATCATTTAAGCATGACAATTAAGTGGATACATGGCTGATCAAAATACATAATCAGACACTGCTTATCAATGGTTTCTCATCAATGTGGGGTGAATTTATGCACGGTGCCACAAAGTTCAGTTATGGATTCTGTATGCTTCAACATTTTGATTAATCAGTTGGATGAAATCAAAGGAAAGTTTATCAAATTTGCCCTTTCAATCATTTTTGAATGATACAAAACTGGGTAGGAAACTAAAACCCTAGATCAGCAGTTCTCAAAGTGTGGTCTGAGGATCTCTGGGGGTCCCCAAGAGGCTTTCAGGGGGTTCATGAAGTCAAATAAATAAATATTTTTAAATTTTCTCAGTTTTAGTTTCTAATACAGTAAATATTGATAGATATAACCCACATAAACCAAAGCTCTTTGGGGTCCTCAGTCATTTTTAAGAACGTAAAAGGGTCCTGAGACCAAAATGTTTGAGAACCACTGCCTTAGATGACTGAAATAAAATTCAAAATTACCTTGATGAGGGTAGGGAAATGGAATGAATAAAACTGAGGATGCCAGACCTGGCAACAAGAATCCTGAGGATGATCAGAGGGCTAGAAATGTCGCCTACATCTTATTAATTCCCAAGAGAGACTGGAGAAACAGCTCATCGTGAGCCAAACCCTGATAGGATCACGTTGGAAGACACTTGTCTCGTGAGGTCGGGCTACCCTGTGAAGTCTGCCATGCTGCTTGAGGGGAGGGTCTGTGATCACATTGGTTCCAAGAGAGGGAAAAGAACATGTGCTGTTGCAGTGTGGGACATCAGTTGGGAAATGCTATGACGTTTTATAAAACTTTCGAATGCGAACAATAGGGCAGCATATTCCATCTGGGGGCAGGATGACTTAATAGCAACTTGCTTTTGACAGCTGGCTTCTAGGCTGCCTAAAGGTTGGGTGAAGATGCTCAAGGGGGCCAAGTGTTTTGAGGCAGTGCTGACTCACATCCTAGGGATGCAGGGAGCTAGTGAAGATGCTTTGTTCCAGCCTGTCCTCTCGATGACCCAGACAGACTCAAGCCATTACAAGTATCTATCAGGGACCCTGGAATATGAGATCGTTTGCCCCCTTTATATTCCCCCCAACTGAAATTATGAAGACAGCTTCAGCTGTAAGACCAAAACCAACACAATCTTTTTCCTTATCATCACCTTTATGCATTATTTTTATATTCCACCTAAATTAAATTACTTTATTCTGAAAACAATCCTGGCCATGAATTCCCTGGCAAAGGAATTAAGGAAGCAGAAGTCCCAACTTCTGGGTGGGAGGCAGGCAGAGCAAAGCCGAGCCAGCTCATGGTCATCCAGGGACCTCTTCCGCAGAAGGGATTTGAACCTGAATCCGAATATCCCCACTGGCTCTTTCCCAAGATTCCTATCTTTCCTAAGGGCAGAGAGAGCATTCAAATGGCACATAATGTGCTTGGTTAACTTTTTGTGGGGTTTTTTACCAGTTTCATATAATCCTTTCATTTAATGAGCTTCCAATGTATTTGAAGCCATTCCCTCTCTGGAATGTACACCGTGTCTCTATTTTCCCCTCCTGGAATTCTTACAATTGAACCTACTTTCAAATTATTCATTTTTCTTTATTGAAGGACCTATAATTTACTAGTCTCTGACTTTAATGACTGCTAATCTCTGAGAGGAGACACTTGACCCTGACCTTTCTCCTCTCTCCTTCAGCCTCATCCCTTCCTTTTTAACTCAGGAGGAAAATCTATCTTTTTTCTTTCCTCTCCTCAGTTTTAAGGCTTTTGTGGCCTGCCCAACTGTCTGCAGCCTTTTACCATTTTGCTGGTTTTTACTTCTTCCCCTTGACCTCAGAGATCTGACTTTCTCCCCTTTCCTCCAAGCCAGCTGCAATTTTTCCAAGCCAGCTGCTTGTGATTGCCAGCTGCAATTTTTCAAATTTATATACTTGTCAAATCAACCGTCAGATTTTCAGCAATTTAATCTTTACTAAACTCTCCTCTACAAAACTTTTTTATTTCCCTTTCTGCGCTCATATTTCTATTTCTCTGGCCCAGATAGTAAATGTCCATATTCAGTCTGAAAAAAGGAGACCTGAACCCTTGAGATTTATTTCCCTTTGGCAAATTGTTCTGGTTATACTAGCAAATAACAGGGAGATTTCAAGACCGTAGCTCAGTAACTCAAATGAGTGGAAAGTTGGAAGGTTTGGTTTTACTTCAATACTTCAGACTTTCCATCACCCTTCTGCAAAATTCCAAGCTAATCAATATATTTTTTACAACCACAAAACTTCACTCTTTTATGTGGAACCTAATTCACCAGTGCAGACACGGAGAGCTTCAACATGGGTAGGGATACAGGGATGGCAGAATAGTAAATACAGCCCTGGTCTCTCTCCCTCTGCAACTTAAGCCATTGGGGGACACCTGCAGAGGAACCTCTTTTTTTTTTTTTTTTTTAACTCTGGGGATTTGGGATCTTTTGCAAAAGCTGACAGTTTGGTAAACTGAGAATGCCTTGTGCTCCCAGTTACTATACACAAATCACTGTGAATTTCAACCTTGTCCTCTAATGTGCTCGCACTAGCCCTGTTCAGACATTTGATCTGTCACTGCTGAGAGCCCACAAGGGGGCTGCCATGATAAGCTTCATACCAAATAGCCCTTCCTTTTTCTTCCCCAAGTAACTCCCAAATATAAATCACCCACACAGTGATCCCAATCATCCTTGCCAGTTTGTGAACCTATTCTTTTTTTAGTTATTCCATAAGCTTAATAAGAAATCACACAAGAATAAAAATTTAAAAAAAATAAAGATAGAAAAAGCAAGATAAAGAAGCATAATAAAACCATTGTGAAGAAGAAATTTCAAAAACATATTCTTCTCTTCCATTTTACCCCAACTGCTAACCAATTGAACAGGAAATGCTGAAGATTATTGCTTATAACTGCTTAGTTTCATCTGTTATTTTTAATTAGTCTCTTAACTCCTTTCCTAAAAACCTTATTCCCAATGCCTACACTGGCCTTGCTGTGTATTCTCTTATATGTGAGGGAGCAATTCCTGCTTAAATTTGGTTAAACTTCTGTTATGAATATATACAGTCAGTTTTGCCATTGCTGCATATTCCCCCATTTTGGTTTCCCATTCTTGCAACGTTGGCGAAGTTTCACTTTTCCAATGTTGTGCCAAATTGGTCCTTTGGAATCCCTTGGTGCTCTCTTGAGCTTGGTGGTTTGCTTGCAGACATTTCATTACCCAACCAGGGAACACTGATGATGATGATGGGTAATGAAATGTCTGCAAGCAAACCACCAAGCTCAGAGAGCACCAAGGACTCCACAGTTCGACCCTGAGCTACAGAGATTCTCTTCTATTGAAACTGATTCTTGCCCTGAGTCTGTGAGCCTGTTCAAGAGAGACAGAATGTGTCCTGCAGATATTGAATTATATCCCATTGATAATTTTGCCATACAATCATCACTAAATTGCACAGCACCACTTCCATTAATGTCTCTGACCATCAAACTGTTGCAGAGAGGAAACTCTTGAAGGCCTGGGTTCTGTCATGCATCAGAAGCCCTCCCCAACATTGCCAAATGCTGTGGGGCTGGAACACCCAAAAATCTCAACCTGCATGGCCTCAAGTGGCATATGAGTAGAAAACAACCAGTCTATCCTCCCTCTCTCCTCCTCCTTCTCAGCCTAGCACGGAGTGTGCTAATAGAAGCCATTCTACTATACCATTATATTAATTTGATCCCCAGTTTTTTTTTAAAAAAAATATTCCTATCATCCATATTCACAGATTGTTCAGTAAATTAAAAAGAGAAAGAAGTGAAATGCTAAGGCAGATTTCAGAATGAATTACCAAAGTACAACCATGTTGCAGTCTAGGCTGAGTTGTATTTAGTTGGTTCCTTCACCCTCTGCTAAATTTCTTTTTGACAGCTACTGATTAAGACCTGTTTCTTACCAAAGAAGGCATTCAAGAGCTTCTGGACTTGAATATTGCTCCCAACGGTTCGATAGACCCCTTCAGTTGTGATTCCTGAATGGGAAGGAAAAAACAAGCCATTCAAACAATTAATTCTAGCGAAACAAAGATCTTTATTAGGATTTGAGGAAGCTCATTAGTGCCACCTTTATGCCATCATTAGAGGGGAAAACCATTTTTCAAATGTTCCCACAGCAGTAGCATGGGAAGGCACTTTGTAACAAACTCTGGAATAATAATTTAGGATGGAAAGCAATCCAGAGACCACAGTCCTCTTTAAAATTTATTAGAACATAGTAATTCTCAAAGTCGGCTTACTTGCTTTGGAGTAAATTGCCTGCAAAAATGCAGCGTGAACTCACACAGGTATGAAAGCTCTGTTAAGAAGGCCGAGTAAGGGCCATCTCCGGCCTCCATCCTGCTCTAGGAAAAATCGCTTCCACCACTTCTAGAACAGTCTGCAACATCTCTTTCCCTGCACACTGCTACTGTCTGAAGTTGGTGCAAAGGAGAGGCGACAGCCCCCTTTTTAAGAGTTTTAAGAGCCACAAACCCCCAGAGAATTCTGCACAAGGAGAGTCTTGCAGGAGCGTCTTTCCTTCATGGCCGGTGACACTAATCCAGACCTGTCTAGGCATGCGTACACACTGCCACGCTCAGTCGTGAAACCTGCATGGCCACACCAAACACAATGTATGCTGCCCAGAATATTCCAGCCAAAGAATTTATGAGGATACTCAAAGAAAAAAACGATAACATCTAAAGCAAACTGATACTGCCTTAACTTTGTTCCACTGTTGGCCAATTGTTTAAGATTTCTGCCAGCAACACTATACTGTCTGGGATTTTGAGTGTTGTCTGAAGAACTGAGCTGAACAGGCCCCATTTATTTCTGTGGCACTTTTACGATGTGCCTTCTTAAAGCCAGAGACAGAAGACCAGCCCATCCTTCTCTACTCTATTTTTTTATTGTTTCATTCTGGAGTATGCTGACTTTTTCCTTGAGCAATTCAGAAATATATCTAATTCCCTCTCACCCCCACAGTACTTCTGAAATTGTACAAAATGTCATCTTTACAACAGTTTTCTACTTTCCTTTATAGCAGGTAACAAAGATTTAGTTTATTTTAATACTTCTAAAATTGCATGCCATCTTTTCAACTGCTCTTTACAAGGGGTAACAAAAATGTGTGTTTCCACCAACTGCACCTCACTATTGACATGTTGGCTTTATTAGTGCTTTAAGAATAATGTTTAGGATACGTTAGGGTGTAACCTACAAACTCTGCAACGCTGTGCTAGAACCAAAGAACTCCTCAGATCCCATCCACCCAAATGAGAAAAAGAGCTCAGACAGACAGACACCTGGGGCATTCTGATAATTTTTATTGGCATTATTTGTTAGACAATCAGGATAAATCTCTCTCTCTAAAAGTAGCAAAAGTTTGCTACGTTGTGAGCAAAGGGGTTAACTTTGCTTTGTTTGCTTTACTGAATGTATTTTTATTGGTCGATGACCTAAGTAAAGTTTCTGTCTGAGAAAGAGCTCTGTCTTTGGGAGCACAACATTATAACTTCAGACCCGTACCACTCCCTTCCCTCCGGCTCCATCGCTGGCCTTCCGGAAAACAGAGCCTGGCCACCAAAAGCCCCAGTCAGAACAACATGGGGAGAGCAGGCCAGGAGGACGTTGCGACCCAAAGGACGCCGAACCTCCTTGCAGCCTTCCGCCATGTCTGCAACAGGACGATGCCGGGGAACGTAGGGCAGCTAGCTGATTGGTGGCAGAAAGAAGCTAAAGAAGTCCCAGGGTTATTTCTCCCTCACTTCCACTTTGGAAAGCAGCAGCCAGAAGGCTGTCAGACGGACTGGGAACGCTCCATCTTTTAAGGACTGCAATCCAAGGCCAGGAGTGCCCTGCCAGAGAGTTTTAGCAACAGAGCTCCATGGCATAACATGCCCCAGGCTGGATTCCAATATCTTGCTCTGGTTAGCTAAAACGGGCCAGTGAAAATTTATCTCAGAGGTTGCGTGCTATACTTACCATTCGTCTCTACTGCATTGATGCACTTCCGGACAAATCTGAAGCCAATCTCATTCAGTTCCACTGTTGGGAACAAAAAGGCAGACAAAATTGTCTCAAGGCAATTTCCAGAAAAGCAAGGAAGAACATGTTTACTTTCCATCCCTTGAATAAATGATGCTCCTTTTATCCAGCCAGCAACTGCCTGCATGTACAGGCAAGAAAGGCCTCAGTTCTTACCAAACGAGGGCGAACTGCAGCATCGGTAAGAAGGAGCAGCTCTGGTGTCAAATGAGGCATGAAGCCCGGACAAGGTGGGGTCAGATGGCAAGGTGCCCCAGGTTTGGTCCTGCCCATCTCCAGGTATGCCCAGGCCCAAATCTGCCAGGACTTTGAAGAACTGCTGCCAGTCAGAGTAAGCAATACAAAACACGCTGAACCAAGAGCCTGACTCGTTCTAAGACTTGGTGGTTTCCTCCGTGCCAGGACACAGTATCTGATTCCAGATTCCATACACGAAATGACTTTTAGAAATTTCAAAACCAACCCTCCTCTTCAAATGTGGTGGGATAAGAAGTGATCCAAATTCAAGACAATGGTAAGGAAGTTTGGACTATATTTTGACCTCTTTGATGAGATTTAAGGTACAACCGTATTGTATCAGCCTTTTCTGACTTGGTGTTGTCCACTCCAGTTCCCATAATTCCTTAACTATGTTGACTGGGGATTATGGGGGTAGAAGACTGAAAAGTTGGGAAAGCATGCTACATGTATTACTACATGTATTACTACATAGTAACACTTATTTGTTTACATAGAGCTCCATCCTCACTGGAGTACAGCTTTAAGAACACTGAACATGTACATTGGTATCAGTGTATAACATGCAGGAATGTACATGTTAAATTAAAATATTCCTAAGAGGATATTATTGATGTCAGATGATACAGTTAACAGACCGGGGCTGAAATGCTCTAGATCAGGGTTCTTCAACCTTGGCGACTGGAAGATGTGTGGACTTCTGGCTGGGGAATTCTGGGAGTTGAAGTCCACACATCTTCCAGTCGCCAAGGTTGAGGAACCCTGCTCTAGATGATCACTCTAGAGTGCAGCAAAAAGCTTTCTTGTGCCCTCTAGTGGTTATCTAGATTTTTCCAGCCCTCATTTGGTGGCTCTAATGGACATTTCCAATCAAAAGATCCCACATGTGATGGGATCCCACATGTGATGCATGGATGTGAAGTAGACACATCCATGCTATACTCTAAGCACCTTCTTCAATTTTACTACTCCAGGTCACATCTGTGCAGAAAGGGAAATGTGCTGGTGCAAAATGGTTTTCTGGGACTGAGAAAGGCTGGGTTTGAATCTGCAGGTTAAAAAGAAAAAATTGGGCAATTGCTGCTGTTCCCTTTTCTGAGGCTGCCCTGCAGCCAAGTAATGACTGAAGCCTTCAAGAAATATCAGCAAGTCTAACCCAGGGGGGAATTGGACAGTTCTGATCAAAAAGCTATCAAGCTATTGAAGAAAACCCCAAGAAATTAGTAGCTAAGACTTGGGGATGGTGCAAGATGGCTTTACCCTTTCAGAAATCCAAGTCTGTGAACTGGCCGGCAGTTGGATAGACTCTGGAAGCCTATTCAAAGAGAAAGTGACCCGACACCGAAGTCAGAGCTCTACTGAAGAACATGAAAGGAATATACAGGTAGTCCCCAGTTTAAGAATGAGTACCGTTCCCAAGGTCTGTCCTTAAGTCGAATTTGTATGTAAACCAGAACAGTTATTATTGTATAATACTGTATCAATAGTATTGTGTAATAAACTCAAACCATTGTGTATTTGACTTGAATCACTGGGTATTTAACTCAAATTTTGCTACAATAGGCTCTGTTCTTAACTATCGGTCATCCGTAAACCAGGCATTCTTAACCCGGGGACTGCCTCTACTTCCCAAAGCAAATGCAAGCCATTTTAAAAAAAAGAGGTGCGTTGTCGATGCATGTAGCATACTCTTCTTGCACTTCTTTCTAAACTTCCTGATATTCGCAGGGTCCCTGATCATTCCTATTTTAAAGTACACGACTACAAAAAGGGCTACAACATGTGGGAAGGACATGCCACCAGCAGCCAGCAGGCGGCAGCGGTGGGCTCTCTCTGAAACAGAATGACTCACTCTGGAATCCAGAATGCTGGAAAAAGCCACAGGACATACTCACTTTCTTCCTGCTTGGTGATGGGACTGTGGTAGATCTAAACAGTGAAAGGGGCGGGGTGGGGTGGGGTAAAGCAAAACCAAATGGTCAGTAAAAAGCATGACAGGCAAAAAGGAACAGGGGTGGGGGTGGGAGGGGAGAGAGACAAGAGATAACATCATTTTAAAATAAGCACATGGATTAGTTTCAATCTTTGCAAAGTCTTTGGGAGGCTGTACATTACAATGAAAGACACTTAAAATCCTTAAGCTGGACAAAAAGGCTCCCTGAACTAATGCTGTTTTATTATTATTATTATTATTATTATTATTATTATTATTATTATTATTATTATTATTATT